TCAGAATAGCAGTAAGAAGGCACTGGAAGGTGTTTTTTCCTTTTTACTTATTAGTGCTATAGGATTTTTTTGTTAGTAAAATATACATAACAAAATTTACTATTTTAACCATTTTTGAGTTTATAGTTCATTTATATTAAGTACATTCACATTGTTGTGCAAATATCGCTACCATCCATCTCCAGAACTTATTCATCACCCCAAACATTAAACAGTAACTCTCCATTTCTCCTGCCCCCCTAACCCCTGCATTGTGGGGTTTTAAAGCGTAAAAGGCACAAACATGACTAGGTGTACAAGTTTGGTTTATTATTTTTTAAGACAACATTTTCACATTGTTCAGCCTTCTCAATCTATATAAGAGTATATACTTTGAGAAATCTCCCTTTCACTCACTTTTTTTTCTGGAAACTCTAGGTAGTTTTTAATTTTTCCACAAAAATTGTGTGCATTTTCAAGGGAATTCATGTTTTTTTACCCAGATACTAGATAGTGTAAACATACACAGTGTTTTTTACTTATTTGTCCTTTTTTTGTATATGTAAATAATTTCATCCTTTTTTTTATGGCTGCATGGTATTATTGAGAATATCCATAGTTTCTGGGGTGACAAGAAGTTGAGGGAGTTTGCATATGGTGACTTTTGTTTTTTTCAGGGAATGGGAAAGACAGTTATGTGTTTAGAGAAATGGAAAAGTAGAGAATTGAATGTTTGATGAGTGTCGACACAGTGTGAAATATTGCTGAAAGGGAGAGTGAGAGCATGAGATTAGTGTGATTGAATTGACAGCAGCACCAAGTAACCATTTGAGAACAGAAATTTAGGTTTAACCAGTGCTCTCAAATGTACGATTTCCCCAGCAGCAGCTAGCAGTGTGGGTGCGGTCTTAGGAAAGGCTTTTGGTTGGATCTGTTCAAGATTTTTGTTACCAGCTTGTGATGCATGGACTGAGGGCCAAGGAAATTATGCAATATTGATAAAAGGAAAGGTAATGTATGGCCTGGGAAATCCACACAAGGTGAGGAAAGACATGAAGACAGGAAGGATGTTGTGGATATGGTCAAAGTGGAGCGGTCAGTTGATGGAAAGGTCCTGATGTGATAGTGAAGATACAATGGGTACAAGTGAACAAGTGGGCAAGAAGAGTGGGGCAGTACAGAATGGAATGTCTGAATTTACCAGTTAGAGCTGTTTTTCAGGACTGGTTATAGTCCTGGGAATGGAAAGGTTGGAGGAGAGTTTTAGAAGGTCACTGGAGATAAGGAATGTGAGGAACTGAGAGGGAACTAAAAGTCATATTGTAGGAAGCATGTTAACAAATGAAAACATAGCTGGGAAAGGGTGACAAGAATAGTGAGAGTATTTCATATTCGTCTCTACAAATGCCTATATTATTGATTGCCTACTATATTTAAGACATTATTTCAGACCTGCCGGCAATATAAAGATGAGCAAGACATAGTGCTTGATCTTATGAAGCCTATAGGAATTTGAAAAACAGAGGGCTTGGGGGGAGCAAGTCTTTAAATATTTAAAGATCTGTCATGTTTTAAAGGAATTAGACTTTTGTCTTTGTGGCCTTAGGGGGCAAAACTGTTATCAATGAATGAAACTTAATAGGGTGGTAGATTTAGGTTTAATGTGAGTAAGAATTTACACATACATGTGATATGACAAAAAATCATGTAATACTATATAATAAAACTGGAACAAAAAATACTATAATCAAGTATACTAACAAGTAAATTGTTTTCATTTTTTCTTTATATCCTGTATGTAATGCTATCATCTGCTAATTTCATTTAACATCACCCGTCCCATGCTTTAACTTGTCTTTCTCGGTTGTTTTATTGTCCTTTAAAATTTAAAGATAGTGTATTGCTTTGGAAAAATGATTATTTTAACAGATCAAACAAGAAAAGTTTTTTAAGTAAGTAAAAATTAACTGAACTCTCACTATGTAGAAATAACCATACAAAGTTTTGATAACTTTCCCTTTAGATAATTCTCTGCTTAGGTCAATAAGGACAGAGAGAAAGAGGGAGATAGATAGGTAGGCAATTTTAAATAAATAGAGCCATATTATACATACTCTTCGGTATTGTGCTTTTTCATTGAACACTATTTTTAGAATAGCTTTCTACATCAATAACTAAAATATATCATTTTTATTAGCTGCATATTATATTTTGTACATAAGCTATATATTTTAGATATATTATCTTTAATTCTTTCAACAATTCTACAAGGATGATGATATGTCCATTTTATAGATGAGTAAACTGAAATTTTGGAAAGATTAAGTCCCTTGTTCAAATCACAAAACTAAAAAGTGATAAAGCAGTAATTTAAATACCCATTGTCACCATTTTTCTTCCATTCTCTTTCCGGTGTTTGAATTATTTGGTAATTCAGTGTCCATGTCTATATGAGTCACTAAATAAATAGAAAAAATGGGCTAAATAAATTAAATATTGTTCTCTAAAAGATCAAGTAGTTGACTATTTCTTAGTCAACTTTTTATCTTATAATTAATTATTTCCTTTTTCCATCTTCTGGTTTTTGATAAAGCCATCACAATTTTTTTATCCAAAGACTCCAACAGATCTATCAACTTCCAAAATGTCAGATGAGCACATAAAATAATCTTTTTTTTTTTTTTCTTATTCCTGGAGGCTGCCTTCTCACAGCCTTCTGTTCTGCTCTAATTTCCAACTGCTTTATCTTTGCACATAGGTGCACAGGTGTCATCCTGAATTTTCTTTTGCCATTCTACTATATTGCATCCCAGAATTCCTGGATTCTATGACTTTTGTTTTTTCCTTTATTTTCTGGTCCTCTTTTTAATATTTTATTATGGAAAAAATTCAATATATACAGAAGTAGAATAGTATAATGAACTCCCCATGTGCTCTTCATCAGCTTGGGTATTTATCAGTTCATAGCCAGTCTTGCTTTAGCTATACAGGCATGCCTCATATTATTGTGCTTTGCTTTATTTTGCTTCACGGATAGTGCAGTTTTTACAAATTGAAGGTTTTTGACAACCCTGTGTCTAGAAAGTCTATCAGTGCCATTTTTTAAATAGCATTTTGCTCACATCTTGTGTCTGTGTCACATTTTCGTAATTCTCTTAATATTTCAAACTTTTTCATTATAATTATATTTGTTTATGGTGATCTATGATTAGGGATCTTTCACGTTACTATCGTAATTGTTTTGAGGCACCACAAACCACGCTCATATAAGATGGCAAGGGATTGATAAATGTTGTGTGTGTTCTGACTATTCCAATGACAAGCTGTTCCCGCATCTATCTCCCTCTCCTTGGGCCTCTCTACTCCCTGAGACACAATAATACTGAAATTAGGCCAATTAACAACCCTACCATGGCCTCTAAGTGTTCATGTGAAAGGAAGAGTTTCACGTCTCTCACTTTAAATCAAAAGCTAGAAATGATTAAGCTTAGTGAGGAAGCTATGTCAAAAGCTGAGAAAGGCTAAAAGCTGGGCCTCTTGCACCAAACAGTTGGCCAAGTTGTGAATGCAAAGGAAATATTCTTGAAAGACATTAAAAGTGTGACTCCACGAGACGCCTGGGTGGCTCAGTCGGTTAAGCGTCTGCCTTCGGCTCAGGTCATGATCCCAGGGTCCTGGGATCGAGTCCCGCATCAGGCTCCCCGCTCCGCGGGGAGCCTGCTTCTCCCTCTGCCTCTGTCTCTCTCTCTGTCTCCCATGAATAAATAAATAAAATCTTAAAAAAAAAAAGTGTGACTCCAGGGAACACACGAGTGATAAGAAATCAGAATAGCCTTATTACTTTTTTTTTAAGGTTTTATTTATTTTTTTGACAGAGAGATAGAGAGAACATGAGCAGGAAGGAGGGTCAGAGGGAGAGGGAGAAGCAGACTCCCTGCTGAGCAGATGGGGCTCCATCCCAGGACCCTGGGATCATGACCTGAGCCGAAGGCAGACACTTAACCAACTAAGCCACCCACACGCCCCACAACAGCCTTGTTACTGATGTGGAGAAGGTTTCAATGGTCTGGATGGAAGAGCAAGCCAGCCACAACATTCCCTTAACCAAAGCTTAATCCAGAGCAAGGCCCTAACTCTCTTCAATTCTGTGAAGGCTGAGAGGTGAGGAAGCCTCAGAAGAAAAGTCTGAAGCTAGCAGAGGCTGGTTCAAAAGCTGTCTTCAGAACATAAAAGTGCAAGGGGAGGTCACAAATGCTGATGTAGAAGCTGCAGCAAGTTCTCCAGAAAATCTAGCTAGGAACATTAATGAAGGGGCTACACTAAACAACAGCCTTGTTGTTTAGTGTAAACAACAGATTTTCAGTGTAAACGAAAGAGCCTTCTATTGAAAGAAGATGCCATCTAGGACTTCATAGCTAGAGAGAAGTCAATGACTGGCTTGAAAGCTTCAAAGGACAGGCTGAGTTTCTGGGTAGGGGCTAGTATGGCTGGTGGCTTTAAGTTGAATCCAGGGCTCATTTACATTCCAAAAATCCTACGGCCTTTAAGAATTATGCTCAATCTACTCTGCCTGCATTCTACAAATGGAACAAAAAAGCCTGGATGACAGCACATCTGATTACCACATGGTTAGCTTACTATTTTAAGCCCACTCTTGAGACCTACTGCTCAGAGAAAGAGATGCATCTCAAAATATCACTGCTCACTGACAATGCACCTGGCTCCCCAGGAGCTCTGATGGAAAGAAAGGGACAATGAGATGAATGTTGTTTTCTTGCCTGCTAACACAACATCCATCCTGCAGCCCATGGGTCAAGGAGTAATTTTGACATTGAAGTCTTATTATTTAAGAAACACATTTTGTAAGGGTATTGCTGTCATGGACAGTATTTCCTCTGATGGATCTGAGCAGTCAATTGAAAACCTTCTGGAGAGTATTCACCATTCGAGATGACATTAAGAACATTCATGATTCATGGGAAGAGTTTGCAATATCAGTATGAACAGGAATTTGTAAGAAATTGATTCCAATCCTTATGAATGTCTTTGAAGCGTTCAAGACTTCATTGGAAGAAGTAACCACAGATATGGTGGAAACAGCAAGAGAACTAGAATTAGAAGTGGAGCCAAAAGAGCAAGCGGGCTTTTTCCAGACGTTCCTCTCTCCTGGTTTCGTGGAGTTTCCTCACAGCATGGCCCCCAAATGCCAGTCTTCGCTCCCACCTCAAACGAAGAAACCAAGACTACCTCCTGCCCCCAAGCCGCAGGAGACGTCGACACCTCAGCACTTGCCTAAGGGAGAAAAAGAACAGCAAGAAGCAATTGAACATATTGATGAAGTACAAAATGAAATAGACAGACTTAATGAACAAGCCAGTGAGGAGATTTTGAAAGTAGAACAGAAATATAACAAACTCCACCAACCATTTTTTCAGAAGAGGTCAGAATTGATCACCAAAATCCCCAATTTTTGGGTAACAACATTTGTCAACCATCCACAAGTGTCTGCACTGCTTGGGGAGGAGGATGAAGAGGCGCTGCATTATTTGACAAGAGTGGAAGTGACAGAATTTGAAGATATTAAATCAGGTTACAGAATAGATTTTTATTTTGATGAAAACCCTTACTTCGAAAATAAAGTTCTCTCCAAAGAATTTCATCTGAATGAGAGTGGTGATCCATCTTCAAAGTCCACCCGAAATCAAATGGAAATCTGGAAAGGATTTGACGAAACGTTCAAGTCAAACACAGAATAAAGCCAGCAGGAAGAGACAGCATGAGGAACCAGAGAGTTTCTTCACCTGGTTTACTGACCATTCTGATGCAGGTGCAGATGAGTTAGGAGAGGTCATCAAAGATAATATTTGGCCAAATCCATTACAGTGCTACTTGGTTCCCGATATGGATGATGAAGAAGGGGAAGGAGAAGAAGAAGATGATGATGATGATGAAGAAGAAGAAGGATTGGAAGATATCGATGAAGAAGGAGATGAGGATGAAGGTGATGAAGATGATGATGAGGGGGAGGAAGGAGAGGAGGATGAAGGAGAAGATGACTAATGGAACACTGATGGATTCCAACCTTCCTTTTTTTAATTTTCTTCAGTCCCTGGGAGCAAGTTGCAGGGGTTTTTTTGTTTTTTTTTTTCTCCTCTTGTGCTCATTCGCCCTGTTTTTTGAAGTCTCTTTTCTCTCCCTTTATACCATGGTTCTCAACTTATTTTGGGGGGAAATACCTTGAGCAGAATACAGTGGGAAAAGAATCTCTACCCCTTTCTGTTCCAAATTCATTTTTATCCCTTCCTGTCTCAACAAAAACTTTATGGAATCAACACCACCGTGCTCTGTGGGAAAAAAGAAAAACCTTCTGCTCCCTTAGCTCTGCTGGAAGCTGGAGGGTGCTAGGCCCCTGTGTAGTAGTGCATAGAATTCTAGCTTTTTTCCTCCTTTCTCTGTATATTGGGCTCAGAGATTACACTGTGTCTCTATGTGAATATGGACAGTTAGCATTTACCAACATGTACCTGTCTACTTTCTCTTGTTTAAAAAAAAGAAAAAAAAACTTAAAAAAATGGGGTTATAGAAGGACAGCGAAGGGTGGGTTTGAGATGTTTGGGTGGGTTAAGTGGGCATTTTGACAACATGGCTTCTCCTTTGGCATGTTTAATTGTGATGTTTAACGGACATCCTTGCAGTTTAAGATGACACTTTTAAAATAAAACTCTCTCCTAATGATGACTTGAGCCCTGCCACTCGATGGGAGAATCAGCAGAACCTGTAGGATCTTATTTGGAATTGACATTCTCTATTGTAATTTTGTTCCTGTTTATTTTTAAATTTTCTTTTTGTTTCACTGGAAAGGAAAGATGATGCTCAGTTTTAAACGTTAAAAGTGTACAAGTTGCTTTGTTACAATAAAACTAAATGTGTACACACACACACACACACAAAAAGAAGTGGAGCCAGAAGATATGAATTGCTACAATCACATACAGTTTTAATGGATGAGGATTTTCTTCTTATGGATGAATGAAGAAAGTGATTTCTTGAGATGATATCTACTAGTGAAGATGCTGTGAAGATTGTTGAAATGACAACAAAAGATTTAGAATATTATGTAAATTTAGTTGCTAAAGCAGCAGCAGAGTTTGAAACGATTGACTCCAATTTTGAAAGAAGTTCTGTGGGTAAAATGCTATTAGACAGTGTCACATGCTACTGAGAAATCATTTGTGAAAGGAAGAGTGAATCAATGTGGCAAACTTTATTGTTGTCTTATTTTAAGAAATTGCCACAGCCACCAAGCCTTCAGCAACCACCATCCTGATCAGTCAGCAGCCATAATCACTGAAGGAAGATCCTCCACCAGCAAAAAGGTTATGACTTGCTGAAAACTCAGATGATGGTTAGCAATTTTTGGCAATAAAGTATTTTAAAATTAAACTATATATGTTGTTGTTTTTTAGATGCATTACTTTTGCACATTTAATAAACTAGGGAATACTGTTAACATAACTTTTACATGCACTAGAAAACTGAAAAATTTGTTTGACTCTCTTTATTGCAATTTCCCTTTATTTTGGTGGCCTGGAACCAGACCCTCAGGATCTGCAGATTATGCCTGTATTCCCATGTAACTTCACCACGTTATGTTGAAAGAAAGCCTACACATGCCCCCCCCCTTTTTTTAAGATTTTATTTATTTATTTGACAGAGAGAAAAACACAGCGAGAGAGGGAACACAAGCAGGGGGAGTAGGAGAGGGAGAAGCAGGCTTCCCACGGAGCAAGGAGCCTGATGTGGGGCTCGATCCCAGGACTCTGGGATCATGACCTGAGCCAAAGGCAGCCGCTTAATGACTGAGCCACCCAGGCGCCCCTACACATCTCCTTTTAGCTAAAAATATTTCACAGTGTGTCTGTAAAGAGTAAGGACTCCACAAAAATCAAGTAATTAGAATCCCATTATCATACATAAAAATTAAAATAAACAATAGTCAATCTTTAAAGTAAAAAAAAAATCCAATAAATGTTCAAATTTTCAGTTATCTTTTTGATATAATATCGCAGGTTTTTAAAATTCTTTCTCCCACAGTTTAAATCAGTACCGAAAGGCTCACACTTGACAAATGTTAGATATTTCCCTTAATCTCTAGTGAAGTCTCTCTTAATCTCTAGGGTTTCCCTCTTTTGTCTTATTTCTTTATTTTTAATCTGTTGAAGAAAATAATTTATTACTGTAATCTGGATTTTGCTGCTTCCATCCCCATGAAGTTTAACATGTTCCTCTGTTCTCTTATTTCTATAATAGTATTTAGACCTTGGGACTTCAGTTTTTTGACAATTCTTTTTTTTTTTTTTTTTTTAAGATTTTATTTATTTAGGGGCGCCTGGGTGGCTCAGTTGGTTGAGCGACTGCCTTCGGCTCAGGTCATGATCCTGGAGTCCTGGGATCGAGTCCCGCATCGGGCTCCCTGCTCGGCAGGGAGTCTGCTTCTCCCTCTGACCCTCCTCCCTCTCATGCTCTCTGTCTCTCATTCTCGCTCTCTCAAATAAATAAATAAATCTTAAAAAAAAAAAAAAAGAATAGTGCATAGAAAGTAAACTTTTTGAATTTTTATATGACTGCTTCTAGATAATCTCTAAATTGATAATTTTATATTTCTGTGTTGAAAATCATTTTTCCTTAGAGTTTTGAGGTTAGTTCTTCATTGCCTCTACTACCAAGGTTGCTATTAAGAATCACAACGCTTTTATGCCTGGGTGGCTCAGTCATGGTTTTAGCCTAGGTGGTTTTAGCTATAGAGGTTGTAAATGAGTATCAGTTGCTTAGGCAACCGCCCAATATTTAAAGCCAATCTGGGGCGCCTGGGTGGCTCAGTTGGTTAAGCATCTGACTCTTGATTTCGGCTCAGGTCATGATCTCAGGGTCCTGGGATTGAGCCCTGCGTCCAGTTTCCTGCTCATTAGACAGTCTGCTTGTCTTCCTCTCCCTCTACCTCTCCCCACCCACCCCAGGTGTTCTCTCTCTCTCTCAAATAAATGAATGGATCTTAAAAAAAAAAAAAAAGAATCACAACTCCATTCTCATTTTTGACCCTTTGCATGTCTCATATATATTTATATGTCTCCCCATTCTGGAAGCTTCTGAGCTTGTTCTTTATTTTGGTTAATCTTTAATTTTATAAAAATATGCCTTTGTTTAGTTTTTTTTTTATTCTATTGATAGACAGTAGGTATTCTCTTTCAACATGGTAATTTGAGTGCTTATGTCTGGAAATTACTCATTTTTAACTTTCTCCTTTCCTTCAGCGTATCTTTCTGGAACTTCTATTATTAATTGAATTTCTGATGTTTTTGTTTTACTTTTTGGGACATTTCTTCCTTAATCACCCAGGTCTTCTGTTGCATTTTTGTATTTAACTAAAGAAAATTGCTAAAATGTTATAGATTTTTAATCTTTTTTTTTTTTTTTTTTACTCTTTATACCTTTAGTCGCTTTTCTTTCTTTCATAGCCTCCTGTGTTTGGGGATGCTTATTGTTTTGGGATGCTTGTTGCTGCTCAGGTTTTTGTTATTATTTTGTTTTATTTTTTGTTCTTAATTTTCTTCTGTTTGCTGCATTGTATGTTTACTCTAAATTTCTTTTCATTTTGTTTTCATCTCTGTTGTTCATATTGGATACTTTTCTTCAATGCCTATTGATCTGTGAATGTCCATTCATATTTTAAGATTGAAAATATAAAAAGTTGATTAGGAAAGCTTTTTGACTAGAAAAGTATGGGCTTTTCCCTGGGAAATCCCTAAATGTTAATATATGGAGGTCTTTTTGTGACCTCTTAAAATTTTTTTAAAAATTTTTTATTTAGGAGGGTGGGAGGGATGGGGTGGCTGGGTGATGGACAATGGGGAGGGTAAGTACTATGGTGAGCGCTGTGAATTGTGTAAGACTGATGAATCACAGACCTGTACCCTTGAAACAAATACATTTATGTTAATAAAAAAATTTAAAAATATATTACAAAATCTTAAAAAAATAAAAATTAAAAAAAATTATTTAAATTCAATTTAGTTAATATATAGGGTATTATTAGTTTCATGGGTAGAATTTAGTGATTCATCAGTTGCATAAAACACCCAGTGCTCATTACATTAAGTGCCCTCCTTAATGCCCATCACCCAACTATCCCATACCCTTCTCTACCCCCTCTCCAGCAACCCTCAGTTTGTTTCCTAGAGTTAAGAGTCTCCTATGGTTTGCCTCCCTCTCTGTTTTTATCTTATTTTATGTTTCCTTCCCTTCCCCTATGCTCATATGTTTTGTTTCTTAAATTACACATATGAGTGAAATCATATGGTATTTGTCTTTCTCTGACTGACTTATTTTGCTTAGCATAATACCCTCTAGTTCCATCCACATCATTGTGAATGGCAAGATTTCATTTTTTTTTGATGGTTGAGTAATATTCCATTGTATATATATGTGTGTATATATATATATACCACATCTTCTTCACCCATTCATCTGTCGATGGCCATCTAGGTTCTTTCCATGTTTTGGCTATTGTGGACATTGCTGCTATAAACATGTGGTGCATGTGCCCCTTTGAATCACTATTTTTGTATCCTTTGATAAATACCTAGTAGTGCAATTGCTGGGTCATAGGGTAGTTCTGTTTTTAACTTTTTGAGGACCCTCCATACTGTTTTCCAGAGTGGCTGCACCAGTTTGCATTCCCACCAACAGTGTTAAGAGTTTCCGCTTTCTCTGCATCCTCACCAACATCTGTTGTTTCCTGTGTTGTTAATTTTAGCCATCCTGACCGGTGTGGAGGCAGTATCTCATTGTGGTTTTGATTTGTATTTCCCTGATGCTGAGTGATGTTGAGCATTTTTTCATGTGTCTATTAGCCATTTGTATGTCTTCTTTGTGACCTTTTAAAATTTTTGAGAGAAAAAGGTATCCTCCATTCTTGTGCTGTATGTGGATGTTTAAACATAGCTACCATCTTTGTGGCATAAACAAAGGAAGCAGAATAATGTTGTCAATTCTCAGTATGTAGACTTTTCTCAATCTGTCTTGGTTCCATATGGCACCATTCCGCACCCCCCCCCCAAAGACTATTCTTAGTCTTTTAGGTTTGAACACTAGTTCATTTTCTTTATAGAATAAAACCATGGTCTTGTGGAGGTGGGATAGTAACATGATGACATCAGAATGGCTAGAGAATCTGGGCATTTAAGCATTCCTTATACAAACTTTAAACCAGTGTCCCTGGTTTTAGCTACCATGTCATACTTCAACCTTCTAAGGTACCTGATGCTTTTAGTTTCTGAGACAGTCCAGGAGTTTGTGGACAGTCCTCTTTTAGTTGTTAGTATTTAGCTTTCTTGGTTTTGTTAGCTTCTTCAGTTGTTTTTTTTATTTTGTTTTTTGCTTCTAGAATATGTTCATATTGTTGCCTGTTGTGGTTTTTGGTGTTTCTGTTCTTGTTTTTGTTTTCCATTATCTTTGTCCTGGTCAGTTAACACATTCATATTGCTTTGTATTCATTTTGATTGAGGATAAATGTATTTGTTTACTCACATGGTTTTTTTTAAGATTTTATTTAAATTCAAGTTAGTTAACATATAGTGTATTATTAGTTTCAGGGGTAGAATTTAGTGATTCATAAGTTGTACGTAACACCCAGTGCTCGTTATATCAAGTGCCCTCCTTAATGCCCATCACCCAGTTATCCCATCCACCCCACCTACTTTCCCTCTAGCAACCCTTTGTTTGTTCCTTATAGTTAAGAGTTTTAACCAGAATATCGCCTCTACATACCTTCTCTTTACTATAATTTTTTGAAATTGCTTACCCACTATTTCTTCTCTCGTTCTCTTTGGTCTTATTATTTAATAGCTTTTATATTCATTTCTTCTC